CCCCCCCAAAAAAAATTTTGAGAGACAAAACTCTTCTCCTGAGGTGGACAGACGTTTTTGCGATTAGCCTATGACACAGACCCCATCCATCTGACATCCCCCCTTCTACCCTCCTCTACAAAGGCAAGGGCAAATGCTTGCTGTTCTGAATTTTTTTAATTCATGCCAAAAATCCAGTTACCCAACAGGAAAGGATTTATACTTCCCTACTAAACTGAATACTGTTCATTATGGTTTTCCAGTTCTTTATTCTACTGAATGCTACTACATCACACGTTTACCAACCTGGGATAAAAGCTAGAGATATAGCAAACAGTTAGTTCAAAGACTTCAGCAACAGTTATTCTAAGTACTTATATATTCTAAGAATTTAACTGGGTTTGGACATGAAAATCCCAAATGAATATAAATTCTTGTGAGATGTATGCTATCTTTGGCTTATGTGCAGAAAGTCTTGCCATTTTGACCAATGTTTAATACTCTGTGGACATAAAATATGATAATTATTGCAGTAACTAGGCACAGAAAGAAAAGCAAAGAGAAATTTATAAAAGCACTCTCAAACTGTGTATTCAGAAATCAATCACAAGATTCAGACCTCATTTAGGAAAGAAGAAAGTTCTCTCAAATATAAACATAATCTATCCTTTTGCTATGAGGACCTTTCAAGAGGAATTTAAACCTTAGCTACTTAAATTTTGGGTTATGTTAGTTTATTTTTAACAAATTACTATCTCACCATGGTACTTATAACACAGATATATTTTTCCATTAGCAATTAGGACAGCTCTAGGTTCACTTTACTCATAATCCAAGCCAAAAATCGAACTGCACAACATCAGATTGCAAAACAATCCCTGAAAAACTGAATTGTGTACCTATGTGTAAGAAGATTCCTTGTCCTTATTGTGCACACAAGTCCAATAATTCATGTATACATTAAATCTATTCTCTGCAATTATTTAACAAAAAAGTTCAAAGTTGTCTTTGCACCAGCACAGACGTTCATTAAAAATACTCTTTCTACCCACCTACTGTTAAGGCATCAAATAACCGATGTATGGTGTCTATATCTTTGACAATCCCAGATTCCTGGATTCGCTTCACAAAATCATCCAGCTGCATGTGCGTTTTTGGCAATTCAAAGTTTTTGACATGGTCATCTATTTTCATAATTTCTCTTTGTTTTTCCATCACGCGACTTATCAGCTTCTTCAGCTCAGGTTTGCGGTCTGCTTGAGAACGTTCAGAAGGTGGCATGGTTTCCACAATTTTTCTTACAAGATCAGTAGGGAAAATTCTTAAGTCTGTTTTATCTAGATTCTGGAAGTCAGAAAGTGCATTTAAGAGTTTGCCTTGCATCAGGCTAATAAGTCCCCGGAGGTAGAAGTACCTTGCCAGCAACGCCGAGTTGTCAGGTGGTAAGGTATTTATAGCTTTGCTGAGATGGTTGAAAAAGTCTGCATAGTAGGATTGGACACACTGGCATATCAGAGGAAAGTGAACTTCTGGGATTTTGAACGTACTAACTGGCTTGCAGGGCATTTTCACAGCTAAAAACAAAAAGAATACATTGGTTAGTATAAGCAGTGAGTATCTGCACAAGCAGCAGTATTATAAACAAGAAAAAGAATCTCCAAGACAGCAATATGCAACTACCACGCGTGACATTCAAGAGTACAGTTGTGCTAGGGACAGAAACATATTCTTATATCTAGCCTCCTTAACAAAACATTTCCTATTCCGATAATGGTGATTCTCAAAAGTACTACACACACCCTTGACTTCTACAGGACTTGCTTTGCTAAACAGCGATAAGCCTTATCCTACATTCATGCCCAGTTCTGCACTGGCTTTAAAGTGGGAAAGGACTGAACACGATGACTGACTCGGGAAGCAATTCTATAGTGCTGTCCTCCTGTGAGCATTCAGGCTTTTGTAGTACCACAAAACTTAAGCCGACTTCAGACTGACTTCGTAACGTGCAGGGAGAAGCACGGACAGGATCAAAACACCCCAGCTCACCAGTTCTTTCCAGCATCTGATACTGTTTCTGTGGAAATCATTCCATGTCGTCACCCATAATATCAACAGAAAATACGGTCTACTTGTTAAACGTGTTCTTCCCTTACCACGGCCTGTTTCTAGTGTTCGAAGCGAGGAATTTCTAGTAGGGCCTTCTGGCAGTTTGATATCTTGCAGATTAGGCATACTGATTACCATACGCCTACTGACCAGGTACTGCGGATTAAATCGTTTAGAAGCCACTTTCTCCATAGTCCGTCTTCTTGGGCTATCAAACATCAAGTTTAATCTGAAGAAAATAATTAAAAAATATATATAACCAGTTATGTAACACATTATCCTAAAATTTGGTAAACACACATACTACATTACTACTTTTTTTTTTTTTTTTTTGTATTATAGTATCAACCCACAATTTACATGATTCTACAGTCACAGTTGGACATGTGGATATCACCCTTTTCAGTAGCTTCATGATGTATAAGTCATAATTTTATTCATAGGTGACCTGATCCCATAGCACTGGAGTCAAAAGGAGTTTTATCACTGATTTTAAAGGAAGACGACTCAAAACCAGAATAAGCAGTGAAAAATCGTTACCTATCCTCTTCAGTCTGGGTACTCAGCTCAAGTC